GAAAAATCACTTGGCCTCCATACACGATTCTACAGTGAATCACAGACGCCCCTTCCCCGATTTTTCCATAGGGGAGGGGGGTGAGGTTTGTACACAGGCTAACAATTTAAATGTCAATACGATCAGGTGGTACAAAAGATCCACTCTAGCGATCGTTATGTCATGGTGACTCCTCTGTTTTCCTCAGTTTGTTAAACTCGATGATTTGAATGTCAATTTCATCCATCTTCCTTTCCCTTACCTTGTTTTGCGTATCCCTTCTTTTACTCGGGCACAAAGAAAACAGCCTCCCTAATCCCCGTCTGTATTTTTTAACAAATATAAAGCAAATAAGAGGATTAGTAGTAGAAGATAGGTAGATACCAAGAACCGAAAAAAAACCAAGCAATACATTTACCGAACAAGGAAATTTTTCCCCTGATAGATAAGCCATTCCGAATACGATGTTAGGAATAAGGCAAAGATTAAACGAAACTATGATGCACAGACTCATCTTAACAGCTCGCCTTTTCCTTTGATCGTTTTTCTTGACCGCTGTACAACGAAGACTTATGTTTTGTCTTCGTAACGTGACAGCTATGGCAGAATACAGAACAGTTATTACAATCAATGGAGCGATCGATACAAGGACAATACGCCCATACCCAAAGATGTTAATTCTCCATGAAGTAATTTCCTCTCTTATGCAATAGAAATTGCCATCATATTCGACTAACTTAGTTGTGCACAGATCTATTGAATTGATTATTAACGCTACGATCCAAGTGGACGTGATTGCAAACGCACGAAATCTTGAGGAGATAAGATGCGCTTTCAATGGAATCACTACCGCCATAAATCGATCCAGCGAAATCCAGAGAAGACTTTGCACAGAAACTGTGATCGAGGCTGCAACCAGAAATATACTTAGACTGCAAGAGTTTGAACCAAACTTTCCACCGATAGGCCACCGGAAATCTGAAGAATTAGCCGCATTTTTTTTCAAGCTAAATGGCATTAACAGTATCGTTACAACAAGATCGGAGACCGCCATGTTAACTATAAATGAGTTTATCGTCCTCCTGAGCTCTTCTCGCACACGTACCAAAGTTATGATAAGAACATTTCCAACCAAGCTAAATATCAAAATAATGGACAAAAGGAACAATTTGCCAATTTTCAAAGGGGACGAGTCCGCCGAACTTTCACAATTCCCCTGACTTCTTAATGAATCGTTGGTAAAATTTGTGGACATCTTAGAAAATGCAGGTAACTTGGAACGCGTGTCCAATTTCCTTTGCTTTCAGGTGTCAGTTGATGGAGTAGAATATCTGCGGGAGACTCGATAGCAATTACGAAGATATCAAAATCGAGTCACTGACAATTTTAAGTCCTTCTTTCTTTCTGACTGTAAATTACCCTTATCAGGTCACACATACATGCAAATAACCATAAGGTTGCACATGCACAGCCGTGTACATGTAAACATCATACGTTCAATACCTAAAATTGACTGTCAATGAAAATTAATTCTACCACTATGTTGATGTCTTGCAAAATTAATTGTCTTTGTTGTTATGGCGTTGCAGCTTTTAGGCCGAAAAAAAAATATAAAAAATATCCACCTAAAACAAAAACCTACATACACGAGATTTACTTTTTTACTGTTTACTTTATAGACCCCACATTGCCGTGTTTGGTCATAAAAAAACACATCTGCCCAGGAGTGGTTTACAAAATTTAAAAAAAAAAGTAATTATGTTTTGGTTGTGTTCATTTAAACTGATATAGAGTCTCCGACCTTTAATAGAACTGCCTGTGCCGTTTGCCTAAAAATGGCGTTTAATTAAAAGATAGATTTTACTCATTTGTAAAAAGCACCTGGTCGAGTAGAATCACTTATGAAAAAGCAAGAACAAGGTTTTCAGTACAAAAAGATGCCAATTGAGAGAGGATAAAATCGACATATAACACTATATAGCGAATTTCGCCTAAGTTCGGCAAAAACAATAGCTATGACGTCGTTGTGAAAAGAACGATAATAGATACTCCTTTGAATGATCGTACTCATTTAGATGAGTAAGAAAAAAAGTTAATATCGCTGCGATTGCTGCCACAGCTGCTGCGAATTGTTATATCCCGTACTTTGCGCATGCGCAGTTCGTTCGATGTTTACCATGTGCTTGTGGGACATGCTTCTGATGCTTGTTGCGTTTTACTGTTGACATTCGTCCTCTAAGTACGTGAAACCCTGGCGACGAGGATAAATAAATCGAAAGCCACTACACATCACAAAGATGAATATATAGCAGTTTTAAACCTGGGAAACATTCGATAGGGCTACTACAAAACGAAGTCCTTGAGGTTGCAGAGACTTACGCCGAACTTAGGCGAAGTTCGCTATATAGTGCTATATGTGGATTTTATCCGCTCTCAATTAGCATCTCTTTGTACTGAAAACCTTGTTCTCGCTTTTTCTTAAGTGATTCTACTCGACCAGGTGATTTTTGCAAATAACTAAAATCTATCTTTTAATTAAGAATTACCATACATAATGTCGATGTTGTTCGAACCCATGGTCAGTTCAACAACAGCTTAGAGAGCCAATTGCCAGCAAAAAAACATTTCGAAAAGCGTTCCAGTATTTATGATTTGGATCTGTTTTGTTTAGATACAAACTCTAATCTTAACCCTGATTGTACCCTGGGCAATGAGCCAGCTCGCTGCCGGTATTTTTCCCCTCACAGCTTCTCAAAGTTTAAACATACGGTGCATAATGATCAGGATGGCTTTTCTCTGTTGCATAATAACGTTAGAAGCCTGAAGCATAAC